AAATGAGATCCAAAATAAATTATGTTTGTATATTCAGCATACATTTAATTTTGGAATGGGGAAAAAGAAAAATTTCAGTTGTTGTCAAAGCTTGTAGATCACTTTGGGCTAAAAGTAAATTTAAAAGCTTATATTTCTTTTATTCTGCCACTGAACTATATAATTTGACCTGATCTTTAGCAGCCATGGCCAAATCAGGATTTCTTTACTCAGTTCTTTCATTCTGAACATATAAGTGTGTGAATCTTCGGCTCTCTCCCATTCCCAGTGGGCTTTTCATATCAGTAGGACTTTTCTAATAATCATGGGCCCAACTTGATATGTTTGGAGTCACACCCTCCTCTAATGACATTTGTAAATTTCAGTCATATCTTTTAAACTTCTGTTGGTTAATGAAACATGACTAAGGTATTCAGTATTCCCTCAGCTTCAGTCTGGGACTAAAAATTAAGATTTGAAATACACGTATTAAGCAAGTGCTTGTTTTGTTCTTCCAGTAAAAAAAGAAAAGCCTGTGGGCCCAGGTGAGCATGGTGGTTCCAACAGAATGGTGGCTTTACCAATAATTGTAAAATAGGGAACTTTGCAGTAGATGCCATATCAGAAGCAGGACAGATCCATTTTCAAGCCCCAGATAAGCAGGTGACAGAATGTCCAGACAGCATCTAGATTTGTAATTTAAACTACCTTTTAAAGTGGATTTTATTGAGGGCAGCCACTTCCTTAGCATGCGTAAGTCTTATTTTCATACTATAAGATCTAAAGACAGTATAAAACCTTTGCAGTTGCAGGAACTTCTCTTTTCTTAATCTATTACTGCCTTATTTTAGTTCCATCCTATATTGGTAAATGAAATAAAGACACATCTCCCCTTTTGAACATCCCTTTCATTATCCTCACTTAAATATGAAGCCCTACAAGCCCTTCCCTGCTAAGCTCCTCAGAGGAGACCCACCTGTCTGGTGGTGGTAGCTCCGTGGGCTGAGGTCACGGGGCCAGGAGGTTGTTGTGGGACGATAGGAAAAGTCAGCTCCCTTGCTCGCAGTGAAGAGTTCCCTGTGGCTTTGTGTGGTCTGGAGACCTTCATTTACTTCATGAGAAATTTGAAAGTTACCAAGACAGTTGACCAACTCCCTCCATGTGTGAAAACCTTTCTCCATTCCCTCCTCTGCCACTGGCATCTAATGCATTTCTGAGTTTCTGTGAAGCTTTCAAGACCCAGTGCAGCTCAGGGAAAGGACGACAGGGTAAAACCTCTTCTCTCTCCCTCTCTCAGCTCTCCCTTTGTCCCGGGGCCTTTTTTAGTATCTAGCATTACAGTGTTCCTCTTGTTTATCGTATAAATAGATGGACACCTTCAGGGCTCAGGCAGGCCGTGGAAAGTGGGAGAGAGGGGGCATTCAAATGCAGTCCCCTCCCCCCCCCCCCCCCCACAGGTACTGGCACCAGTGGCGTAACAGGAGCTAAAGCAGAGAGGACAGGTTAGAGCCTGACGTGCTAACATTACGGTTCAGTAGTAACCCCAGCAGCCAGTAACATTTATTGAGCACTTACTATGCATCAGACCCTGCTTTATGTGTTTTTACTTATACTATCTGGTTTAATCCTCGCAGCCCTATGAGGTGGGTTATACATACAGGAACTAAGTAAGCTACAGAGAGATTAAGAACTCATTCAGTCAGTAGGAAGCAGAGCCAGGACTTGAACCCAGGCAGCCTGCTTCCATGGCCCCCCATGCTCTGCACTATATTGAATCTAGAATTTTTCATTTAGGAACATTTCTGTATGTGGTACCATCTCTGTCTCAAAAGTTGCTATTTATATATTGAACATCTACACATGTGTGCACATGTATAGACAAACATTACCCTGTCCTTCAGGTTGTCAAGGAGGAAGCAGAAAGCAAGGGCCCGTTTTGTCCTACTGTTACAGTATATACCATTTTGATGCCGATTTGTGATGATATATGACTGTGTTTGCTCAGTGAGCACTGAGGACGACCTGCAGGCGACAGGCTAGGATATGCCAGCAACACATTAAGGGGAGCTGTGAGAAGCGGTGTAAAATGACGGAGTAGGTGGATGGGGGGAGCTGCGTGGGAAAGGAGGCGCCCAAGCCTGTGAACAAGTCAGGCTGAGGAGACCAGTAGCCCTCACAGGGGAGGGGAAGAAGGGTCTGGGCTGAGGAGGAAGCAGAAACATTGACTGCAGAGGAGTTTTGAAAGTAAGTGAAATAATGAACTCAATTCTGAATGAGGGGCTACATGGCATGAGAAGTGACAAGAGACGAAGATACCTATTTCCTCATTGAGAGAGAAAGTGGGGAGGGGTGGAGGGAGGCAGCCAGAACAAGGATTATGGCCGAGGTCAGAGGGCACGAATGAAGGGGCCCTGAGGTCTGCGGGGGCACGGTGCACTAAAATGTTAAGTAGCTTGCGGAGTCAAGGAGAAGTTTGACGCGTTATGGAATAAGACAGTGGAGGTCAATGCTAAATAGACAAAAGGTTGCTTGATTTTTGATGCAGGCAAGTTCACAGGTAAGACATATTAGTGTCCCAGTTGATGGATCATGCTCAATGTACCAGTGAAAGGAGGTCTTCTGTGTTTGGATGTTTAATCAGACAAACCACCTTCCGGTGTGCAAATTCCTGCTCCAACTAACCAGGCAGGTGGTCAGCCAGTCTCCTCAAATGGTGAATATATTGCCTCTTGACAGCTGTTACAAAGCTTTTCCTGTGGCTCCTAACTACCGAACCCACCCCTCCCCTCTGGAGCCAGTCTTTCTTCGAGGCATTCAGACACGACTCCCTCAGGCCTTCTCCTGTTAGCGTTCCATTGCCCTCCTCTCCCCTCAGCTGGGCAGCACTCAGCACACCCAAGGGGTAGCCCCTCCGGTTTTTAGTCTAAGCCTTGTTTATGTAGTTATTTTTATTCTTTATAACAAAGCCCTCATTAAGGTCTGATTATATTTACAAGACAGTCATGAAACCAAATCGAAACCTGGTTCTTGCTCTTAAGTAAATCAGACTAAAGGAGATTGACAGAAAACATTGACAGAAGACTTACGGAATCATTAAACTAAAATGAGCGCAGCCTGACAGGTTCAGTAGAAAGGCTAAACACGGTGCGGTAAGGCGGGGAGTTGCTACGTATCTATTACTGTTAATATTAAGGTAAAATTTAAATAGAGTGAAATGCACAGGTTTTAAATATACAATTTGATGTAATCCATACCCTAATCAAGATATGTAGAGTCCAGCACAAATAGCGCCCCTTTTTTTATTACAAAATCTTATTACAAAAAATCATAAGCATGTAATTCTGTAACGTAATATCACACTCAAGAACACCATATGACATTTTAGGTGAAATGTTCAAATTAAAACTATAAATTATTACACCCATATTATTACCCTACCGACCATATTCAAGCAGGCGTTACTTCTGCCAGACCCTGTAGAATGTTTCTGCCACTCACCAAATTTCCTCCTGCTCCCTTCCGGTCACATTTCCATGCCTATAGCCAACCACAGAACCACAGAGTGATTTTGCCTCATCATGTGGTTCTTTAATGAATCAAAGTCCACATCAAAAGTCTGTCACTGAAGATAACATGGTACAGAAGAAAACATTTAGACACTATCCGCCAACAAACTGTACTCTTGGGCAAAAAACTTAACCTCTCTGGGCCTTGTGTACAGTGTGATTAGATGATCATCATGATTCTTTAAAGATCTTACACTCTGCTCACATTTCTAAGCTCAAAGACCCCACCATCCACGCAGTTCCCTGGGCCAGAAACAAACCTGGGCTCCTTCCACCTTATCCTCCCAGATCCAGCTGACCACCTGTGACATCAGTTCTTTCTTATAACTTTGTTGGACATGTGTCACTTCCTTTGGCCCCTACCTTCTCCTCATTTCTTGACTTCCCGGCCTTGTAATAACCATCAGATTACTCTACCTACCTCTCTTGTCCTTGGTCCTCTCTAAACCAGTCTTGTCATTGCCCCCAAGGTAATTGTTGCTAAAATAAAACCATCTGATCCCTTTTCTGTGAACAGTCCTGAAATGGTTCTCCACCTTTGAGGTGCTCCTCTACCACCTACAGGACTGAGTTCATTCTCAGCGAGGGCCGTTACTGTATGCCTCCAGCCTGCCGTTCGTGCCCTCAGCCCTGCTGTGCCCCACCCCCGACCCCCATCTCTCAGCCCCAGGAGGCTTACTCTGCCCCCTGCAGCTTGCACCCCCCTCCTTTCCTACCCCTTACAGATCCCTCTGGTCTGTTTAGGGCACTGTGCATGCCTGTCTCCCTGGTTCTGTCCCAGACTCCTGAGTGAGGCTAGGGCGCATCTCCTTATCTCCATCATCTAGCTTATGGCTTTGCCGAAAACACGTATCTCCAAAGTAATTAACCATGAGAGCACTAAGGGTGATGATAATACCAGGTCAGGGTCTCAACTCGGACTTCACATTGAGATGTTTTTAACAATTAAAAAAATCACATGACGTTTCCATGGGTTTCTGACCACTTTATCAAGTTGGAGTCTGAGTTTTTCTTCCCATTAGCCACCATGTCAGTATTGGGTTGAAAGGGAGAAAGTGTGTGTTTCATTTGGAGAGAAGGGTGTATGATCAGCAGCCTCAAAGCAGTGAATCCTGCTGGCGTAGCCGGGCTGGTCCTGTGCTGGTTCAGTCCCCTCTCAAATCCGACTTGTGTGCGCATGTATTTAGTTCTAGAATGCAGATCGCTGTCTCCACAAATGAAGATGACTTGTTCCTAAAGGTCTCTGTGGTAATTAGCAAGCAGATGAAAAACCAGAAGTAACTGGTAAATAGTGACCCAAGTACCCAGGAACACCAGTATTTATAGCCCTGTCTGTTCATCACGGTTCACTCTGCTCCGATTTCTCTCCTGGTTTTGGGTCTGCCTTGCAGTGAATCAGCGCTGTGCCCACACTACTCAATACTCCGTCTGTGTTTTTATCTTTCCCCAACTTAGGCAAGAACCTTGACGCGGTCCATGACATCACGGTGGCCTACCCTCACAACATCCCTCAGACAGAGAGGCACCTCCTCCACGGGGACTTCCCCAAAGAGATCCACTTCCACGTCCACCGTTACCCCATAGACACCCTGCCTGCATCCAAGGAGGACCTGCAGCTCTGGTGCCACAAGCGGTGGGAGGAGAAGGAGGCAAGGCTGCGCTCCTTCTATCGGGGGGAGAGGGACTTTTACTTTACCGGACAGACTGTGATTCCACCTTGCAAGTCTGAGCTCAGGGTCCTTGTGGTCAAACTTCTCTCTATACTTTATTGGACCCTGTTCAGCCCTGCAATGTGCCTACTCATCTATTTGTACAGTTTTGTTCGGTGGTATTTTATAATCATCATTGTCATCTTTGTACTGCAAGAGAGAATATTTGGTGGACTGGAGATCATCGAACTTGCATGTTACCGTTTTTTACACAAACAGTCACATTTAAATGCAAAGAAAGATGAGTAAGAGAAGGTGACAACCTAGGGAATATTTGGGAAATGTTGTAAGCCTTTGTAAACTGATAGGCGTTTTTGCATGACTACGTCAAATATTTCTTACTACCATCATTATTTGTTCAAGATATTTTGCACTTAGTTTTGTGGAGAAATATTGCTACACACACTTTTTTTCCCCTCCAATCTCTGAATGTAATTTCAATACTCATAGCAGGGAGCAATCGCTATGAAATAACTCGGGCCGAGTATTCTTAAACAATCAGCAGGCTGTTCACAGGCAAGGTACACACAAGATTTTCCCAAAGGCTCGATCCTATTTCCTAACCAGCGCCCAGCCCAGAGGCAGATCTGGGCTCCTGAGCACCAGGCAGCTCAAGTGCTGGTGCTTGGCTATCGGGGTGAGGGCCCGTCCTCCTGGCTCCTTCCCTCTGAACTCCTTTCTGTGCCAATCAAACCACTACATCCTTCCTTAACACTAGAAAACAGACATCTCTCGTCCTTAACCTGACCAAACACTGATTGCAAGACCACCTGTGCCCTTCTCACCTGGAAAATAAGGCCTGGACACGTCTCAGGGCAGCCACAGGCTCCCACCTGGCAACCTTGGTTTGAACTTCTAAAGATAAGAATTAGTACAATTTAGTTCTTCGCGTCTAACCCAACCTCGCATGCTTAGTGCTGGTGTCTTTACGAGGTGTCAGCAGGTGTAGCCTCTTCTGTGTCAAAAACACTAAAAATCACTTTTTAAAAGGAAAGTGTAGAACATTCTGTTATTGCAGTCAGAAACGCTCCTTTGAAGTTGTGTCTTTTGAAAAAGCTCTTTAAAACCTGCCCAAAAAAGGAAGGTTGGTGTATTTTCTGCATGGGCGTGGGTCTCTCACTTCTGCCATTAAAACAGCAACAATGAAGCACCACTTGCAGACAGGCTGTAAGGGTTTATCCTAAGTTAATCAACCCTTGTACCTATGGCAGATTTTACTTTCAAAACCAAACCATCACAAAAGTGAATCTTTTAATAACAAGGGAAGGAATCTCTCTCATTTTTCGTCCCAAGCTTCCTCTTTACGTAGTAAAATTTAAACACGTTTTTGGCCAATTTGTTCACCTACATATTCCTGTCACTTGGAGTCAATGGAAGATCCAGCAAACCAACAGCACCGACAGCCTTCTGAGGCACCAAAACTGCGTGGTCCTTTCCACTCTGCTGAAGCCCGGCACTGCTTTTTTATTTTTGTGATGAAAGGAGGGTGCTGGTCAGAGCAGCAGAAAATCCGAGGCAATTAAAAGTCTTTAGCTGTTAGCAAACCTGTCATCTTTACTCCTGCCTTGAACCAGCCTCAGAGCCATTTATTGTTTCATGCACTGTTTTGGCATGAACGCCGTCCCCTTCATCACATCTCACTTTTGCTCGACAGTGACTTTTACCCCACAACTGAAACGTGCGCTGCCGTGACAGGTAAGCACTTCACAAGCTGAACTTACCGAGCCGCTGCTTTTGGAAAGTGCTGTTCTCGGCAGACGCTGGCAGACCGGGCAGACACTGTTGACACAGGGTCCCTGTTGGAAGCGAACTAACTCTTGCCTCTGCCCAGACCCACCAGCTTCTATGTAGCTGCGCCCTCGAGGCTGTTTTTAATCCTCCCGAGCTGTTAATTAGATACTATGTACATCTGCTGCAAACGCAGCTGTAAAACTATACTTTTTTTAGGGTGTATTTTTTTAAAATTTTTTTTCTTAATAAAAGAGGTTTGTAATTTAGGTTTCTCTCAGACTTCCTTTGGTTATATCTGGAAACACAGAAGCAGTCTTAACAATGGGGATTGCATCTGCCCTGAGCACAGGGGGAAAAGGGGTTTTCTGCCCCGCAGGTGTTGACGTTGCTGCCGTCCACCCATCCCTGCAGCCTCTCAGCTCATTGTTCAAGGCCTACGTCCCCTTTAACTGTCCTCTCTAACTGTTGGGACTTGTAAAAGGGAAAATCTTGTCTTTCTTTTTTAAAAACATTTTTAGACCATAACATGTTTAAGATAAAATGCAAACTTACTTTCTACCTACCCAAAATTCATAAGCACTAAAACTGGGGAATAGAGACAGTGTACTTCCTGTAAGAATTAGAAATAACGTCAAAAAGAAAAAAGTTGTTTATGTGTTAACCTACACATCTGTATTCTTCTTATTTTAAAAAAATTTAAATAATACCGTTAATGATGTGGGACGTAAAGCTCTCTAAGATTAATAAGGAAATGTCAAGCAGGAATTAATTTAGTTTCCGGGTTGTGATTGGCCTCAGCAAATCAAAATCAAAAGCCCCCCCCACCCCCCACACCTTCCCACGCTGTCCCTGCGACTCAGCAACCACTAAACACACACGACTCCCTTCAGGCTTTGAAGGTCCACTCATTGCTATACGTCCAACTGTTAACTCTTTACCATTCAGGAACGTTTTAAATCCAGCGAGTGTGGTGTATGTAGGACATGAACCGTTATTCTTAACTAGGAACCCACAAGGAAGGGCGCGGATCAGGTCTCCCATTCTCCCACCGACACCTTTGATGGAACAAGCCAAAAGGAATTGTGAGATCCTGTAGAACATGGTAAAAGACTGAAAGAAAAACAAACGTTAGACAGAGCCCCTAATTTAAAACTCCTAAGAAAATCCTTCCCTGTGTGTTACACTATTAAAGCACAGATTGGGGGAAATAACAGCCTCCACTTGAGTCCCTTGGAAGGCAGCTCCTTCCGCAGCACCACGTCAGAAACCGAGCGCGGGAGCCCAGGCTGAATCCCGCCGGGACGCCGCTCTCTCTTCGCCCGGACTTCAGGCTCTGGCCGCGACCACCCCCAGGCCCCGAGCGCTTCTACAAGAGCCTGGTGGAGGGAGCCTGTCGGTATTAAACTGTTTACATTTCTTTATATAAATAATGTGCTTTCAGTGCCTTAGTTACAGGTCCCTTTCTTTTCCTTGTTCCAAGAATTCTGCAGTGTGTTCCTTAGGTGAAAGTCTCCTCACTGCCCACCGGGAGTGGTGTGTAAGCCACCGGGCACCGTGGTATAAACACCGCTCCCGATGCCGTCCGGAGCGGAGAGCGAGGCGCCGGCCGCGGTTGCCCTGGTGCCAACGTGTGTGCCACAGAGAACACAAAGGGTCTCGTGGGGTGGGGGGCGTCGGATGGGATATGGCCCTAACGTGGTCTTGGACCAACTTTAAATTTTTATTTCTGAAGAGAATCTTGATTTTGGTAATTTGTTTTTTAAAGGATCATTATGTGGAAAACAAATTTTAAAAATAACTCACAGAATGGCCTTAGTTTTTGATGTCCACTGGTATGTTTGTGAGTTGTGTTATCTGTAATGTAAACCCCAGAATAAAGAGTGAAGTAAATAGAGTTTACACGTGTGTTACATTTCTGTCTTCGCAGGAATGAGTGGGTGCTACTTTGTTTCTACACGTTGTTCTAGCCTTATAATGTGTAGTAGTTGAAAAGCTCGTCAGTTAGAACCCTTTCAAAGATGTTTTTTAAAAAAATACCTAAGCAAGCAGGGAATATATTGCTTCCCTAATTGTGAGTCCAGAGTCCATGGTTGAATTCGTTGTTAGTGAACGTCATCAGAGCCTGACTGCCTTCCCTCTCAGTTCAGTCCAGAGGGCAAGATCCTGGTTCCCCAAGTGTGAGGCTCTTAAGGTAATTATCAGCGCCACCAGCTGTATGAGGTAAATGGGACCCTATGTACCCCCCACCCCCTGCTATCGGGGGCTTTATCTACAAAAGCAAATCTTGAACCCAAACCTGAAAAATGTATAAAAATGTACTTAGCAAACAGACATGCGCACACACACGAAAACCATGGAAATGCAGGGTAGCAGAACATGCCCCCCCAAACTGTAGGAGCTCAGGACACACCGCTCCAAAATATGCCACTTTGGTATATTATTTTGAGCTGTAGGTACTTGAGAAACAGGAAATAGTGGGAGAAGCTTTCACTGCTGAGCTCAGCTTATCTGCCTAAATTAGACGGACCCTCCAAAAGGAGCTCAGTTGTTACCAATCCCCTCCCGGTGCGTCATCAACCAGGGAAGACTGACTCTGGTCACCGGAGGGGAGACCAGGAGTCGACACCACCCCCAGACAAACTCGGGCACAAACCCTCAGCCCTCCCATCTCTTCCAAGGGCCCGTTCACTTTTCCTAAAAGTCACTCTCCCCTAAGAGTCTACCCTTTCCTTATTGAGATGGTATTTAATCCTGAACTTGAAGTCACCTTGGGGAGTTACTCATTCTTTCCCGGGCTTCTCCCTTGTATACCTGAGGGGTACATGTTAATAGACTTCTGTTTATTTTTCTCTTGGTAATCTGTCTTTTATCACAGGGGTTTTGAGTCCAAAAACCCAGAAAGGCAGAGGGACAATCATTTTCCTCCCCTACATAACCTATTCTAAGCTCTGCAATGCTCCGCCATCTTCCGGTTCTGCAACAAGCCCTTGGCTTGAAAGTCACTCTCTGCAGAACCAACAGAGTCCTTCTCTGGCAAAGGGACACGTGGGACCAGAAGAGCACAGACCTCTAGAGCCAGTGTAAGGACTGGCCCGTCGGACTGGTGGGATTTCTCGTTCTGTTTGCACAAGGGGAGAGAGGAGAGCATAGCCTGACAGCCCCTCACGCGCCTTCCGTGTTCCTCATTTCACTGATGTTAGACACAGGGCTTCAGTGACTCCCTGGGGAGGGTGGATTTATGATGAGGATACTTTGAACGCCAGTTAGGAGCCCTGGGATGTGCACAGATGTTAATCTATACACAGGCAATGCATCCCTCACATGGAAACGGTTTTAAAGTAAGTTACTAAGAGACAGCTCGTGTGCACCTGGCTGTGCCGACATGATTGGCAGGATCCACGTGGGGGCCTGGTGCCTGCAGCCACCTCAGCCCTCCGTCCTCCCAGGTTCAAGTCCAGTGGGAAAGAGCCAGGAAGGCCGCTTCCCAAGTGGCTCACCAGAAATCCTAACCTGGGTTTCAGTGCTCATTCCTGAACCGCTTACTTGCCCAGAAATACAATGGGGGTGACTCGCTGCCTCCCCACCGCAGCCAGGAGTGATGTGCAGGAGAGGGATGGATTTCAAGAAGACTGTTAGGATCACTTTAAGAGAATAGCATGAAATGATGCCGATGGCCAGGTGGCCACCTCAGCTATGGAACTTCCCAGCCCGCAGTGGAGCGGGGAGAAAATCAGCGTGGCTTCCAGAGAGTATCCCTGACCCCTGCAGTGCCCCACAAAGCAGCTCAGCACCTTCTCCATCAGCAACAGGCCTGTGCGCAGTTCCTCTCATCCACAATCGGTCGTCTGAGTTCTTCAGCCATCATTTCCAGCCAGCTCACTCAGACTTAAACAATACAGAACCGTTTTTCTTTCCATGGGAGATCTGCTAAAGCACAAACACTGCAGCTCTAATGCCTCTCCCTGTCGGCTGCGGCAGCACAGAATCTTGCCGTATCACCCGTTCCTCCCTCGCCTGCCTGGGCAGCCAAGGTGTCCTCCTCTGTGCCCTCCTCTGCAGGGGCAGCTCTTCCTTCCTGTTGCATTAGTGCTGGCAGGTCTGCGCACCTCCTGCCAGCCCTCTCCGCTCCCAGCCCTCCCCGCTCCCAGCCCTCCACGCGCCATTCTCGGTACACAGGCCTCAGCCGGTCTCGCCACAGCCCCAGTTTAATCAAGGGACCCCTCTTCTCACACGCAGTGGCTTCCTGCTGACCATCAGAAAGCCCAGACCCCACCTATCACACTCCCCTCCAACCCAGCCCAGCCTCAGGCCCAGGATTTGCCCGGGTGTGGTGACCCTTTCTGTATCAACACAGCTGGCTGTGCAAATCTCATTGGCGCCCAAGCCTGATATAACCCACGCCCTGTCCCGGCTTCGCTCACATCCCTCACCTGTGAAAGGTGCCGCCTTCACCAACTCAAGTCTAGTCAAATCCCACTATTTCTCTGAAGCTTTTCCTGATCAGTCCAGCTTGAAATGTCCTCCGGTTGTGGTGATATTTCTCGGCAGCTCCTGCTGGTCTGTGTTATACACTATCTTGTATTACAGTTATTTTTCAGTCTTATCGCCTCAGCTGGATTATAAGGTTCTGGAAAGCGGAGATAAGGATGTCTCTTATTTCTCTTATCCCAAACAGTGTTCAGCCCAGCATCTCAGTCATTCTTTTTGCACAATAAATTCTTAGTAGTGATTCCCTGGAGGTCATTCAGAAAGGATCCTGTTCAAATCTACAGCTGGGTGCAGAAATTTACAAATTTAAAATAACGACAACAACAAAAATAAAAATGGAGATACAAATCCTTCCACCCCTGGAAAAGAATTACTTTTTTTTTTTTTTTTTTTACAAGAATCAAATCATGTTTGACTAATGATATGATTTATCAAAATATATTAGTATATGAACTTTTAACAGTAAAAACTTGGCTCAGAAGGTGCTTTATTCTTTGCCCTTCCTGCTCACATACACTCTTTCCTTCTTTAAAACAAACAAAACAAAAAAAACACCACTGAGGAAGCACCACCTTCTAGGTCTGAGGCCAACCAGACAGAAACAAAGAAGGTAAACAAGAGTGGATGCCCTGTCCTGTCCAAGGCAGAGGCCTGTGTCTGGCGCCACAGCATGGGTGCCCTAGGGCTGGAGGCTCCCAGAACCCAGCTGGCCAGCAGAGGGCATGTGCCCTGTGGCTGCTTTTCCCACTGCACATGGCTTAAGTAGAAGTTGCTGACAGTAGCTGGTGGTGCAAGCTCCAAAAACCATTGTAAAACAACAACGACCACGCCCACCCTGGAATTTTCCTCCCGTGGGCTGGCAGGAGACAGGGCCTAAGAGAGAATACACAATTGTTGTGAATGTGAGTCACTAGGGCTTGGGAAGTTTGTTACATAGCAGGAGGAAACCCAAATACTGTCTTTAGTTATAGTAAGAACTAAAAAAGCTAATTCACAGACCACATGCAGCACAGCATGCCCCATAATGTAGCTGTGATTTTTATTGTGGACATTTGATAACTGTAACAAGCCACGGAATAGTAACCCTTCTTGCTGTCCCAACACAGGTACTGATGAACAACAGGCAGATAGTTTGCAGTTAGCAAAGCACTTTCTCAGACTTTATCCACATTGTGACACCATGGACCCAAAAGAGTTAGGGGCCATGCCCACGATGACTCAGCCCCTGAGCTGCTGGAGCAGGCTTCAAACTCACAACCCCACATTCCAAGTGCACTGCCATTTAACTCCAAACACATCCACACAGGCAACAACGACTAGTCTCGGAGAGAATGCAACAGTGGAGAAGTAGTGGTGCCCCATTTAAAGCTGAATTGGGGTACCTTCCTTAGGATGCCCACAGCCCCGCTTCCTCCCCTCACAAAATGCTATGAGATTGAAGGCAGAGATTGGGTGGAAGGGGTGAAGAGTTTTCAGCAATTGTCGGTAAATTTCTTTGACAGAGTCTGGCCTCTTCCCATCCCCACAGTGGGCATGTATCCTGCACAGGACAGAGCATGCAATAGGCCTGTATGCCATACCCTCTGATCAAGTACAGTCTGGGGACATCTGACCCCTGGTGGTGACCAGGCAATGGGTGCCATTGGCCTCAATCACTGACCAACCCTGATTCTGGCCCCGGACCTTGAGTAGGGGAGTGGTGGGCAGAAGCTGCCCATTGTTCTGCCTAACAACAGCCCCACTTGGACATTTGCAGGCCCCACTCACAGCTCCTACCCTTGACCTTTGTTTCTTCCAGCTAAGAAAGATGACACACTAACCCAGCCTCTCCCACCACTGATATTTTCCTTCCCAGCCTCAATAGGAAGATTGTGGGGTTATTTCCTAAAAAGTGAATGGGAAGGATGTGGCTTAGTTGAATGACATTCTCCTACAGTGGAAAAACTGATGACATTTCAGGCCTCCGCATAGCTGAGTAAAGACAGGAAGGGAATGAATGAACAAATCTTAGGGCTCTCTGGGGAACAGGCATCTCGGCAGAAGGAACCACAGGGCAAAGAATGTTGAGGCGGGAGTGTACACTTTACCCAGATCCCCCAGGCCTTACCGTCGTGCATAACCAGGGTGCAGCCAGCAAACCCAAGAAATGAATGTGGATGCTGCAATATGAACTAATTTAGAGAGCATACTCCAATTTTGCAGGTACAGGAGAAGGTGTTCAACATCATTAGTCTTCAGGGAAATGTCAATGAAAACCACAAGAAGGTATCATTCCACAGGTGGCAGAGTGGCTATTATCAAAACAACAAGAGATAACAAGTGTTGATGAGAATGTGGAAAAAAGGGAACTCTTGAGCTCTGCTTGTGGGCGTATAAATTGATT